TCGTCCGCGGTATTGATGCCGTTCCGCGGCGCCGCGGTACTGATGCCACCCCACGGTGCTGCGCCGTACGTCCCCGGTACCAGCGTCCGCCGCGCCGTCCGCCCGGGCAGGCGGTGTTGTTTGCCGCGCTGATTATCGGGACGGTGCGGCCCGCATTTTGCCCACCGCCTGGGAGTGCCGCGGCCGTGCGTCAGTCCATCACACGCGAGTTCGGTCGTGAGTGTCCGGCGCTCGGGCTCCGCCTGACGTGCCCGACCGGTCTGACTGCAGCCGTGCGCTCGGGAGGGCTGCAGGCAGAAATAGGCCCATGTGACGCAGCGCCCGGGGCGTGGCGGCGGCTCTCTGGGACTGGCTGGTGTCGGCGGTCGCAGCGGATTGTTCGTGGCCCGAGACTAGGTGGGATTATGTGTTGAGACGAACTTTTCATTGGCTGCCTGGACGAGCTGTTGGCGCCCTGCGACGGGGTGAGATGGGTTGTTGGAGTGGACTGTTCGCTGCCTTGGACGAGGTGAGAGTGCTTGTGGGTTTGCAGCCTCCTCTCCATGGGAAGAGGTGGGAGTGGCTCCGCGCCTCAACCCACGACGTAGCCGGGAGGCATACGTGATGCCAGCCGCCCGGACTGTGACCAAGTTCGCCTACTTGTCCGCCTGCCGCGGGCAGCGCCTGTCGCTGACGCGGCTAGGAGCCGCCGCAAGGCTCCGCTGCGGTCGCCGCAGGCTGCCTCGTGCGCTTCACGACCCCTCACAGGTGGCCGGGTCACACCGGACCGGGAACACCGCCGGCCGGTGACCAGCCCCCGGCCTCGGGCGGGACCCGGCCCCGACCTCGGGCGGGACCCGATCCCGGCCTCTGCAGCCGACTGGGCGTCAGATGAGCCGCACGGACCGCCGGCTGCCCGTGGACTGGCGCTGGCTGAGGAGTGGAGCGTGCGGGAGGCCGCTCACGCGGGATCGGCGGACCACGCTTGCCTCTGCAGCGGAAGGACGTGTCCTTCCAATCGCCTGGCAGTGGAAGAACGAGCATGCCAAGCCTGATTGATGGCCGTCCGATTTCGAGAAGCTGGTGGGTTTTAGCAATGACGTGCTTGTTTGCTCTCGGCCAACAGCAGTGGAGCGAAGCAATGCATATCTGTCTGTCAGCACGGGCCATGGCAATCTACCGTGGCACTCGGCTACTCGACCAGCCAGGACTCCGGGAGATTGCACACGGGCCAGCGGTCCCTTGTGCTGAGCAGTAGGTAGGTCCAGATCCTAGGGCCAGCGGTACCTTGTGCTGAGCAGTAGGTAGGTCCAGATCCTAGGGCCAGCGGTCTTTGTGCTGAGGAGTAGGTAGGTTCAGATCCACGGGCCAGCGGTCCCATGTGCTGAGGATTAGGTAGGTCCAGATCCACGGGCCAGCGGTCCTTTGTGCTGGGGAGTAGGTAGGCCCAGATCCACGGGCCAGCAGTCCTTTGTGCTGGGGAATAGGTAGGTCCAGATCCACGGGCGAGCGGTGCTTTGTACTGGGGAGTAGGTAGGTTCAGATCCACGGGCCAGCGGTCCCATGTGCTGAGGATTGGGTAGGTCCAGATCCACGGGCCAGCGGTCCTCTGTGCTGGGGAGTAGGTAGGTCCAGATCCACGGGCCAGCAGTCCTTTGTGCTGGGGAATAGGTAGGTCCAGATCCACGGGCGAGCGGTGCTTTGTTACTGGGGAGTAGGTAGGTCCAGATCCACGGGCCAGCGGTCTTCTGAGATAGGGAGTAGGTAGGTCCAGATTCACGGGTCAGCAGTCCTTTGTGCTAGGGAGTAGGTAGGTCCAGATCCACGGGCCAGCCGTCCTTTGCACTGGGGAATAGGTAGGTCCAGATCCACGGGCCAGTCGTCCTTTGTGCTGGGGAGTAGGTGGGTCCAGATCCACGGGCCAGTCGTCCGTTGTGTTGGGGAGTAGGTAGGTCCAGATCCACGGGCCAGCGGTCCTCTTAGGTGGGACCTGCCGTGCTTCGGCGACAATCCGGCTCCCAGTGATCGGCCCAGAAACGGCTCAGCGATATACCTTGCTGAGCACTGATTGGGATCTCGTTTCAACAAGTGGCCAGCTTTTCATTCAGCATTTTCTCGATTCGCTTTTCTCAAAGGAGTTTGAGGAAAGCATGTTATGCGTCTTTTTCCCGAATTATTGTATTGTGGCACCGAAAATTACTTCACCCTCTTACTGCGGGCGTTCTGTACATTCGCCCCAAGAGCAGCCTCCTAAAATGTCAAAATCGAAGCGGCTTGCAAAATGCAGCTTTCCGCCACGCGGACAAATGCATTGAAAGCTCACGTCAAACTGCATCAGATAGCTGTGTCCGATCAATGGTGAAGGTGAGTTTTGACAGGTTGGACGAGGTCAAAGTATTCCAATTAATAAGTTATAGACACCTGTTCTCATTTCAAGAACTATGCAGAGAAGACGATGCGGAAGACGGCGTCGTTGCAGCTCTATGAAAACTATCAGATAGTTACTAGATGTTATCGACACATGTGACCTGTGAGTTACAGTAGCGAAGGCAATTGTTTCATAGGCCTGTCCGGCTATATTATGGACTAAACGAACCTCATTAGTGGGGAAGCAGGGTTGAAGACTATTTTTCAAGCCGTAAGATATGTAACTAAGTATTAAGATGGTATGACCTTTTAACTGTCAAATCAGGTCACAAATTATACACTTTGAACCTAGCCTGACCTTGGATAATCTCACCTTGAAAATCCACCAGAGCGATGGTTTAGGCTGCCTAGAAAACGTTGTTGATAGTGTTTCTGCGAGAAAGGAGTTCCATGTGTCGCTTTTGAGAAAAACGTCACCGAGATGACCTCAACAAGAGGTCGTAAGGGGTCATCATGAACCTGCCAAGGTCACAAGCTTCAAATTTTCATGACATGGGTAACAAGTGTGTTAACTCTGGTGCTAGAAATTTCGTCACCGCGCTCAAAATCGTGCAGAGGTTATTCCGTAAAAAAACTTTGGGTCTTATGAGGTCCGTTTGTCGGCGTGGGCTAGGTAAACATCCTTGGCGAAGTTCACCCGCCATCTATGCTCTTTCACGTATCTATAAAGAGAGCATCACCACCTGCCAGCAAGCAGCCCGTCCGGCAGTGGCAAGCCACTTAATGACCTAAAGAAGTGAGAACGTGTTGAACTTTAAGCTGCTACTGCCCAACTGCCCAGCGGAACGTCGAGGCGGGAAAAAGCCGCCAAATGCTGACAGGTTTCACTTGGCGGGGTCCAGTTGTGCTATCGTGTATCGCTGCGTCGAAGAGAGAGTGCCAGGTTTGGTGACTACCACAAAAACCCTCCGCGATGGATGCTTGGGACTAGTTTTCACGAAACACCTTGGCAGTCAGTGCACGTAGGTCATGTAGAGCGTTAACTGAATCACTAACTGTGGATATTCACCTTCATAACAACCGGACGAGTTTTTGTGCTGCGCACAGCATTGGACGATGGCGCTGTTGATCATATAGTACCGGTTACCAATCAGCTTCGAAGCCAGAGGCTTCGTAGCCGCGGGAAGCCAATAGCAAAACGGAGTTCCTGCACGACTAACTACCGGCATTTGATCGAAATAAAGTATTGGTCTTGTGCGCGGTGCGCTATAGCACTTGAGTGATTGATCACATCCATTGAATATCTATGCTGGCCTCAGGTTGGCGAAGCCAAATGCATTGTAGCTGTAGCGATTGTAGCTGTAGCGATGTAGCAACCGGACGAATAGCGGTTTATAAACAAATCCATGGAACTGGCACTGCGGTCTTCATTGGAAAGATCCATCTGTGTGCGTACGCGTGCAGTTACCTTGAACCTGGAAGTACCGATTCGTACCTAAAATACATCGACATTTTTAAGTGGTGGAGCCCGGCTAACTCGCTCTTCTTTCCACGTGCCAAGTCGGCCCTCTGCGGCCTAATCCCGGCTGGTTTTCGCAGGTTCCCAATGGGGGCTTGAGGCACTTTTTATAACAGTACCCGGGGTGCCGATGGTGCGCGTCTAGGAAACCAGAGGTACGGGGTTCGATTCCCCGCGGTGCCCGTGCCCGCCCTTCCTGCCAGGGTGAGAGGCAGGCGACGTCATATAGCCTCAGCAGCTGAGTGCTTCGTAAAGCCCCAGTGCACATACACATAACAGTATCCATACGGAATGAAGGATATTGTTATCAAAGACAGTCAAATGAGGTCGGTCCTAACCCTGCTCTACCACTTTGCTCCACCACTTTGATCTCTTGTCTGAGGAGTCTAACCAGCTCCGAGTGTGGGCAGTGCGGGGCTTACAGCCGGAACCCGACACCAGCCATTAAGGCCTTGCAGCATAACCTCACACATCTGTCTATCGCTGCCTTGGACGGAAGCTCTTCACCGCCTAGTTGGCTTGGGCTAAACGGAATGTTTCTGTGTGTCATCAGCTTGCAGGCAGCTGTCTCACGAGCCCGTCGCCTATTGACATCGCCGTCGTGTCACATGCCGCCGTAAATCCACCATAAAGCCATCCCGATGTGGCTTACTAGAAACGCTCCCTGCTTGTGAAACGCATAGTACAGGCTGCTAGTGTACAGTGCAGAAGAGACAGAGTATATTTAATATTGGTGTTCCGAAAAGGTCTTGGGATGTCGCTGCAGCTTTTCGTTGCTATCTGTGAATACTTCGAAGTGTGATCTGCCCACGTGACATATATCCTAACTTACAAAAACCAAAAGCTGTCGCGTGTGGAGGCGGCGGCCGCACTATCATGCGCGGATGTCTGGCGGGCGGCGAACGCCTCGCGGTCGCCGTCGGGCGCTTGCCGGAGACAATGCCGGACTCCGGAGGTATCCCGGCTGGGGCGTCTGTGCCGCGCCGCCGCCGCCGCCGCCGCCGCCGGGGGCTGCTCGGGCCGGCGCCCGGCCGTCCAGCGCCCTCGGGAGCGGCCGGGCCCCGGTCCGCGTCGCCGCCGCCGTCCCGCCCCGCCCCGCCCCGCCTTCACTGACCGGCAGCTTCTGTGTGCCCAGGCCGCCGACCGCCATCCCCCCGGCCGCGTAGACGCAATGCGAACTGTAGCCAACCACGTAGAGAGCAGCAAAGTAGACAGTAAGTGCAGCCGGACACCGGGCCGGCCGGCCGGCCGGGCGCGGCTTTCTCTGTTGCCGGCGCGCGTCACCCCGCCTGTGAGTCCCGCTTGTGCATGGTGCGACCTGTCGAGGCCTGCATGCCCGCATGTCGCCGCCGGCCGCCAACGGGCGACGCCGGACCCTGCACGATCCTAAGGCGGAGATGGCGCTGGAGGTCAGTGCCCGAGGCGCGCGCCCAGTTGGCCCGCGGCCCACGTGGTGATCTCATAGTGCTGGCGCCGGCTGCCGTACCCTTAACGCTCCGCGGCGCTCGGGTCGCGCCTTGTATCTGCATGAGGAGCGAAAGCCATGGAGCGATCGCCGTGTCGCTAGGTATCTCCCTGCCATGTCGGAAATGCTCGCTTTAGTGTTGGGGCTGGTGCTGGGCGCACGCGCAGCAGCCCCGAGTGGCTCCCGGGCCGGCCGGCGGGCCCTTGGCGGCGTTTTTGGCGGGTGTTCAGACTGGAAGAGCGGCGCCACGGACCTTGACTGCTGGCAGCCTGGCTGGCAGCGGCGTACGCGCCACCTGTCGGTCGGCGTCCCGGCGGCGCCTCAGATCTGACGGTCGCTCTGACCTGCCCCTCGCCCAAGGCCGCCCCTCCCGCTGCCGCCAGCAGGCCCAGACCCCCTCCCGCCGCCACAGGCGGTCGCGCCATCCTCCGTGAATGCATGATCAAAAGGCGCCGGCGCCTGTCGGAGGGGTCCGCCGTTAGATCATGCGCTCCGTTTCTCTGCTTGGCGCCTCAGCCGTGACCGCCGCGCAGGAGGGGTCGCGTGGAGCGGGCCCGCCTCCCGTGCGCGGCGGCCGTCGCCGGGCGGGCGGGACCGGGCCGGTGTCGGGCGGGCGGTGGCATGTGGCGCTCGCCGTCCCGTCTCGCGTGCCGCCGCTCGTGCGGCCCCAGCGCACGCCTGCAGCCGTGTCAGCGCCGCGGGCCGGGCCGCCACGCCAGCATGCGGCGGCGCACGATGAGGGCGGGGAGGCCCCGTCAGACGCGAGGCGGCCGACTCGGGAGGGAACACCGCCGACGGTGGTTTGCGGCTTCCGTGGGAGGACCGCGCAGGCCTGACGCCACGCGACGTCGGCCGCGGTATATTGCCGACCGCGACGCCCTTGTACGGATGGGTGACCCCCGGCCTGTGGCCCGCTACTGCAGGTCACACCAAGTATAAAACGAGGCAAAATTAGTTTGCGATTTTAAGGAAGGCGACCAGAATAAAAATTGCCTTGCAGCACCAGACAGGCACGGAATAGAAGGACGCTGCGTTCCGCGTCATACCAAAATGTTAAGTTCAAGTTGCAGGCCCAGTTCAAGGTGAGGTATGGCCATTTCATTGTTCTACGTTTCAGAGTTACGTGTCCTGTCGCAACCCATGTCGACCGTTCACTAGTCGTCGGTTGGTTTGTTCAATGTGTCAGTTTACTGACCGATTCTGAAGGATGGTCGTCACAAGTTATTTGGTTTGGTCTGGTACAAGTCAGCTGGATCTCTAAAAGCGTGGAGGCCGTACATACCTTCACGAATGACGTCATAGCTTTTCCATCTGACGTGACACCGAATTTGTTTGCCAGATTCCGTCATGTTTGTTCATAATATCGGGAGTCCACCAGGAATGGTTCGAAAGTTTTTGTAGTCAAGAAAGTTGTAGGGCGTTTTAAGAGAAGGGCTTTTCGACCGCAGGGCCTTCCCGGCTAGCTCAGTTCGTAAAGCATTGGGCTCGCGATCAGAACAACGAAGCTCGAATCCCAGCAGCGCGAACGAGGGAAATCGGGCTCTGATGCGGACATGACAGCGAGCCAAATTATCATCTAGCCATTTTCAGGACTCAGTGGCACGTGATGGCGGCCAAGCAGTCAACTGGCCGAAACGTTGTGTACATGATTGTGTACACAGTATATATAATTACGTACCGGACGGTGATGATAGTCCGAAGGGCTACTCCATCCGTGATACTAGTACCTCGTCTCAATCTCTCTACAAAGCGATAGTTCCTTTTTTTGGCATGGTTGGACAATGATATTGTGGTTTGGGCTATTACTCTGTCATTATCTCGAGCGTGCGCACACATGCTACACTGCTCACATGCATGCTGCCCTCCCCCAGAAGTTTGCAAAGTCTGTCCCCCGTTTGTGTGCACTTTTGGTAACCTCGTAAGCTGTCTGTGATCGAGGGGATGTGATGGAGGGCTAGTTGTCCATTGGCTCTGGGCCCGCGTCCGCCCAGAGGGAACCAACTGTTTGGCCAGAGCATTACACAGCTGTCGTTTGGCAACTGTCCAGACAACGTCAGTCGGGCGTGGGGCAACCGAGCCGTGACGCTGCATGGCACGAAAAGATCCTCCGCGATCCTGGCGGGTGAAAAGGTCTGTAGCTGAGCTGGGATGAGACCGCCAGGGCGCCGTGTTCTGGTTCCAAACAGCAAGCTGTGTCCGGCCTGCCCTCCGGGCCTAACGCCACGTCCGATTCTTCGCGCCGCCGCCGCCGAGGGGGGTTAAGAACGCCCCCCCCCCCTCCTCCCCAGCGGCAGGGCACCTCGGGCCGCCGGGCGGCGGTGCAGGACCTCGGATGGAGTGCCGCCGGTCACCCCAGCCTCACCAGCCCGCGTGGGTCCGACACCCATCGCGCCTGTTGCGTGGCGTCCCACACAGCACGACGACAGCTATCGTCCGCCGCGCTGCGCGCGTGTCGTTTGACTCGGAATGCGGCTCGTTGCGTCGTTCCCGGTGCAGTGTGGAGTGCGCCTTTTTGTTCAGGGCTGCGTCCGTTCCGGTTCCGCGCGGGGGCCGCCCGCACAGCTGACGGTGTTGTTGCTCTTTTCACTCGATGCTGTTCGTGTTATCGACGCCGGTTCCCGGAACCAGTGACGACCCTCCAAGCACGAGCCCACAATCACGTTCTGTCATTTTATGAACTTATGCCTCTTCAATCCTCGTTCATTGATTGCCGCCATTATAAATGCAACACACCGGTTGTGAATTGTTAATCACTACCGCGTAGCATCAGCCACATCAGGCATCAATCACCTGATATTGTGTTCGATTGATGGCGCGGCGTTGGTTGACGGGCGGCCGGCGCGCGAGCCGTGCTGCCGGCCGTTAACGGCCAGCTGCCTGACCGTGCTGTCTCTGTGTCCGCAGTCCCGGCCATAGTGGTCTGCAACGGTGCGGCCGGCGGAGGGGCGGCCGAGGCCGACATGCAGAGCGAGACGACGGACCCTCTCAAACAGGTGTGACCGCAAGGGGATCAGGGGATCAGGGGATCAGGGGATCGCAAGCGGGCGTGACCTTGGGGTGGGATCTCAAACAGGCGTGACTTAAGGGCGGGGGGGGGGGGGTCTGAAGCAAGCGTGGCTGTGAGGCGGGGATCTCAGACAGACGTGATTTTGGGGTGGGGGATCTCAAACAGGCATGAATCTGGGGCAAGGGATCTGAAATAGGCGTGACTTTGGGAAGGAGGATCTCAGAGAGGCGTGACCGCGATGCGGGATCCCAAACAGGCGTGACTTTGAGGCGGGATCTCAAGCAGGCATTGATTTTTGGAGTGGGGACCTCGAACACGCGTGACCTTGGGGCGGGGACCTTAAATACGCGTGACCTTGGGACGGGATCTCAAACAGGCGTGACTTTGGGGCGGGGACCTTAAACACGCGCGATCTTGGGGCGGGGAACTTAAACATGCGTGACCTTGGGTCGGAGATTTCAAACAGGTGTGACTTTGGGGTGGGGTTCTCAAACAGGCGTGACGTGAGTCGGTGGCCTTACAGGCACGTATGACTTGGGGCAGGGAATCACTCCACCCCCTCTCAATAGATGTGACCTGAGGTGACGGGCTCTCTCAAGCCGGTGCGACCTGGGGCGATAGACCCTCCGAAGCAAGTTATCCGATCGTGATGTGTGAGGCACTAAAACGGGCCATCAGAAAACTCATAACTTGGCAGCGAAAGGAGGCACGGTACATCATCCATTCATTCGAGCGACTTGAAACGATGAACCCTCTGGAATAGCCGTCAGACACTCCGGCGACGCTGAGCGGCTCAGCTGAGTAGTGTGGAATTCAACTCCCTCAACAGTGGACCGAGGCGGCGAATCCTCCCCACCCACTGAGATCCATTGAGACGACGGCCTCCCCAGCTGGTTCGCTGACGCGCCCGAACAGCTGACTGGGACACCGCAGTCAAGTGTCCGAGGAAAACTGTTGAATCAGCTGATCAGAATGCCGTGCGGAAGACCCCGGAGCGGTCCGCTGCGGCGGGTGGCCGAGCGAGGCGCCACTGGCACAGGTGACCCGGCCAGCTACCAGAGGTGACCAGTGGCACACGCGGTCAGCTGTGCGGCCGGTCGGGACGGGCGCCGGAGCCACGTTCGGCGGCGCATTGGAGTGGCGGCGGCGGGTCACCGGGTTGGCCGGACGCGCCGCACCGAGCCCGCACAGCCAGGGAGGGGCCCTGGTGGTCCGGGAGGGGGAGGGGGCGTGGTGCCCCCGAGGGCAGAGCGGACGCTGGCCGCAACGTCAGCGCGTCGGTGGCCGGTTGGGCCGCGGCTGTCGATGGCGTACGGCAGTGGCGGGTGATGGACGCGATCGCTGTTCAGGTCGCAACGGCGCGGCGTGATGACACATACGTGTAACGGAGCAGGCCGACACCGTCCTCTGGAGCCGGGTGTCGGGCCGAGTGCGTTTACCAGCGTTGAGGTCAGCCACTCGTGACATAAATATGTATGTGGTCGACAGGAAACGAATTTGAAACATGGTCTTCCTGATGCAATGCAGAAAATGCTGGAGCCCAAGCCATGGCAAATGATAACTATGTCAGATGATGCATATATACATATATATATATATATATATATATATATATATATATATATATATATATATATATATATATATATATACATATATATATATACATATATGTATATATATATATATATATATATATATATATATATATATGTATGTGTGTATGTCTAATCTGACCTATTTCATATACATATATATATATATATATATATATATATATATATGTCGACATCACTTCGCATCTCCGTTTAACAGTTTTCTCGGCAAATCCAGAAGACTTGAAACATTCCAGAGGCACAGTGACTCACCTTTTACCGCCGATAGCGGTGCTTTTATGTTCCGACTTCGCCGTCGCAAAACAAAGAAATTGTAGTCTTTCAGTAAATGTTGCGTAACTTTCAATAAATAAATGTTATATACATATATATATATATATATATGTATGTATATGTATATATATATGTATATGTATATGTATATGTATATATATATATATATATATATATATATATATATATATATATATATATATACATATACATATACATATATATATATATGTATATGTATATATATATATAATATATATATATATATATATATATATATATATATATATATATATATATATGGATGCAAAGCTTCTATCTCAGATGAGCAGCCGGATTCAACCAGACTGCAACGTGAGTTCGTACCAGTCTCCTACTCTGAGAGAGCCAGCCGCATGAAACGATTAAATTCCGCAACCATTTATCTTTTCCAACGGTTCTTGAATGCCGAAGAGCGGCTGTTCTCTTAAAACATTTGTGGTGAATGCCGAATGAAAAACAAGAATGCAGCTTGATTCCGCTTTGGTTGCGGTGCATTTTGTAAGCCATTGCTTTGATGGCTGAGAGCCTCCGAACCCGGAGCCGTGTTTTGGAACTTCTGCAGGCGCTGCTTTGCCACTTCGAGGCTGAAGGTCCCAGACGACTTATGATTGATTAAGTTTCTGTGAAATCCTCTCCTGTTAGCTCGTAGGTACACCCTTGTGGTGTTCATTCATGCCGGGTTAGATAGTATTGGATGGAAATGTTGTTTATTCATACCGGCCTTTTTCTGAGTTGGATCCCCACCGTGCCCATGAAAGGTCCGTGCACACACGCATACACATTACGCATACCCATAAAAGGTTAGTAGCCTAAACAAAAGACAGCAGAATAATGCGCCTTTGAAGCGTCGGCTGCAGTTCTTGTTACCGGCGCATTGGCCAATGAGAATGGCGTACGTCTTACGATGTCAGTACAGACGTTCACGCAAACCCGTATGGACCACAAAGTGCCACCGGCCGGTCACATAGCGGGCTGAGGGGAGGGGGGAGGGGGACTTCGCTGCGAAAACGACTTCCGTCCACTTGGTGAGTGAAATGGGAAACAAGTCAGAATTGTATGTCCTGCACGCAACATTTACTGAAAGACTACAATTTCTTTGTTTTGCGACGGCGAAGTCGGAACATAAGAGTACCGCTATCGGCGGTAAAAGGTGAGTCACTGTGCCTCTGGAATGTTTCAAGTCTTCTGGATTTGCCGAGAAAACTGTTAAACGGAGATGCGAAGTGATGTCGATTATATATATATATATATATATATATATATATGAATTTATTTTTATCAGTATATTTATATAAATATAAATATATATATAGATATAGATATAGATATATATAGATATATATATATATATATATTTATATATGTCGATAGCGAAAAAGGTGGCTAGTAGTGCTAGTTGTATTCTGCACAAGTGTACCATCCAGCACCCTCGTGCTTTTGAATCGAGGCACGCCTTCTTGTTGCCCGCTGTCTTTCTCCTGCACGAAAGGATATATATATATATATATATATATATATATATATATATATATATACAGCGTCTTGTGTGAAACAGTATGAAATAAGTTGCACAGAATTAGGGAGGAATAGTTTATAAGGGGTACAGTAGAGGGCTGGTCAAATTTGTTCGTGTTTTGGTCGTAACAAAGTCGCTCTTTCGTAAGAATACCAGCGCACAGTATTTTCTCGGGGTCTGTTTCGAAACCGCTGCAGAACGCGACAGTTCAGAAACATCGCAGCGTCGTTTAGAAGTGACAGCTGGATACAGGAAAACTTGGCGCTGACAGTGGCGGCCGAGACGGCTTCCGGAAGCGTGTAGAATCCGTAACAAACACGAACCGTTGTGGGGTTTTGGAGAGCAGCATTTGTGTGCTGAACACTCGCTAATTTCTACTTGGTAAGCAGTGGGTGTGCTATTTACAGCTACGCGCCTTGGATGATTGGTTCCGGGTCGTTTGTCTCACTGTGGCTTTGTATCTAACAGACTTTGCTACAGGACTGTGTAGAGCGGAACTTGTACAGGAAACCCAGTGTTTGTCTCGTGTTTCAATTAACACCATCCCTTTCAGTTAACCGTGTCGCTTTTTACATAACGTGTAGTTTTTGTATTTTATCACGCCGCCCCCCCCCCCCCTCCCCCTCATCACATGCCCATACGTGGCTGGTCTTGTGGTCGTGAGCGCAAGGAATTGACTCACCAATGTAGCCTGGCCTTCCCATTCATGTTTGGTGTTCATGCCTCGCTGTCCTGGGCATAACGTGTGCAACCCTCCATCGATTCCGTCCGTAAATCTCGGCGACAAATCATCAGGTCAGCCGGAAAACTGTAGAATTGTAGGATATACAAGTGTCAGAAGCGTGAATCGTCCCGGTAGTGCAGCAGCTTTATTAGTGCATTTATCAGCTGTTTGTCTCGTCGCTTAGCCAAGCAAGCGTGTGATCACTTGTCTGCATACTAGTTATAGGTTGGGGCGCGTCTGCTGGGGTGCGCCTGTCCGTCCGTCTGTATTCATTTTACGTCGTGCCGAGGCGCGCGCGCGGCGAGGCGATGCGTACCGGCACGTTTCGTGCGTCCTGGCCCATGTCCCGATTTCCAACAATTTTAATTAGCATTGCTTAGCTATGTGCCGCTCGTAAATCTACTTGAGCCAGGCAGCCGAAATCTCACATTTTGTGACGTCGGAACGCCTCCGGTCGACCGCGGGATCATCGGCTAGTGTTTTAAGGATAGCAACAAACGCACTTCTCCAGCGCTTTGCTAAGAGAAATGTAAGTCAAGCTGCACAGATCAGGTGAATGATAATTTGCGGATGCTACGGTGAGAAGACTTATACAAATGCATAGTTTTTTTTTTTGGGGGGGGGGGGGCGAAGCCGGCTGATACCAGCAAGCACAGCATATTCCCTAGTTGCTCCTTTGGAATCGCTGCCGTTAGCGGCAGTGGCGCCCGCAACGGCGTCCTTGACGTTTCTGGATTGCAGGCCAACATCTTGTTTAAGTCTTTGTCACAGGTTTCAGTCAATTTTTGTTGAGAACTGATCTGGCCCTGGAGCATCAATGAACGTTTTGGTTTTTGGTGGTTTTTTTTTCGTTCAGGTGTATAAGAAGGGCTGTTTTATTCATTTTTGAGGCTGATGCTGGGGACGACCGAGTTTGAAAAAAATAGTAATCGTCCCTCCTTTTTGATTGTATCCAATGAGCGTAAGGTTGAGTCTTTCTCTTATTCTTCGGGTTCTAACCGTGTTCAGCAATGCTTGTAAAAACAGTTAATGGCGTGCCGTCCGCAGTGTGTAAAATAACCTGCCTCCAGCACACGCGCTTGACCAGGGATGGCCAGTGGCCCCTGCCTCATTTCCGTCAAAATTGTAAGTGATTCAGCTCACATATCACCAGGCGGGAAAGGCTGACTTGCGAACAGAGCACCCTCCCCCAGCCCGCATCCCTTTGTTACGTTCCTACGTCCCTGTCCTGTGCGCGCAGCCGATTCTTACGGGTTCCGCCTTTAAAATTCGCCGAGCAAGGGCTATATCAGCCGAAAAAGTCTACAATTATTTTAAGAATCCATCTAAGAGTATTAGGAACACAATTTTCGCGAGGAGTGCGACATCTGTCATGCCTTAAACATACATGAGGAGAGAGTATTGCGAAGACCTGTGGAGACTTGCTGCGCGGAAAATTGGCGTTCAGATATTGCCCCTCCCCTCCCTGACATCCGCGTGTCCCTGTCCTTCAGCTGATCATCACGACGTCCCTGCGGTTCCGGCCGGGTATGTCGGGGCGAAGGATCCAGTCGGTGCGAACAGCGTGAAAAAGTCAAATGCGGTCACAAAATATCTAAACGTAAATCGCCCCTCTGATCCGTCAGTTCAGCACCTGATATGGTGATCTTTCAGGCCCGCCGCTCAGCGAAGCAAGCGCACAGGCGCTCCATGATCTCTTAGAATAAGAGCCTTTCATTAGGGCCTCTGGTCTTTGCTGTGGAGCGACAACAAATGCAGCCAGGGTGAGGATTTCATTCAGTTCCGTCTCCACCTCATCCAAATTTGAAAATAAGTGGTTGCTACGTTGCGCATAAAGATATCGCTGGTTTTTAATCAGCTGAAAGGTAATCCAGAATCAAGCACTAGTACGGTTCCCGGCAGGAGCGAGCCACCTGAAATACGATATTTTCCAGCACGAGGCCGTTTGGCGCATTACGGTTAAATGGCTTGCGCTCGAAGCTGCTCAACTTGATTCGCTGTGACACAATTCAGGATTACCTGTTGCATTTGACACCTTACATGGCGAATGATTCACTGAGCATAAGACCTCCGGTCGAAGCCTGTGTCGTGACAGTTGGCATGAGCCAGCACGAGGGCTTAAGTCAAGGGAGCAGGCGGCACGTGCAGTCGGTTAGCGGCAGGCCAGATGAATGCAATCGACACAACGCTGACTCGCCAAGAGCGTGATAACACTTACTGAGGGCGATTCCCGACACCCACTTAATGTTGTGATCCTGCCGTCCAATCGTTCTGCCATTCCGACCGCCGGAGAGATACGAGTGGTGGCCCCGAGATCTCCTTGTCACAGTCGACCAGTCCGGGATCGTGCGGTCTGGTGATTGCTGGGAGGCGGGGTGTTTGGATATTACCTCCCAATGCCGGGCGGCCCTTCGTTCGAACCACCGCCGCGCAGTCGTAGGTTCCGATGCCCCAGCCCCAGCTCTTCGCCCGTGACATTGACCCCTGAGTTGCCGGCGCTACCGTCCGTCGGCCCCTGCTCTCCACCTCCCAGTCGTCGGCTCCTGCTCTCCACCTCCCAGTCGTCGGCCCCTGCTCTCCACCTCCCAGTCGTCGGCTCCTGCCCTCCACCTCCCAGTCGTCGGCCCCCGCTCTCCACCTCCCAGTCGTCGGCCCCTGCTCTCCACCTCCCAGTCGTCGGCCCCTGCTCTCCACCTCCCAGTCGTCGGCCCCCGCTCTCCACCTCCCAGTCGTCGGCCCCTGCTCTCCACCTCCCAGTCGTCGGCCCCTGCTCTCCACCTCCCAGTCGTCGGCCCCTGCTCTCCACCTCCCAGTCGTCGGCCCCTGCTCTCCACCTCCCAGTCGTCGGCCCCTGCTCTCCACCTCCCAGTCGTCGGCCCCTGCTCTCCACCTCCCAGTCGTCGGCCCCTGCTCTCCACCTCCCAGTCGTCGGCCCCTGCTCTCCACCTCCCAGTCGTCGGCTCCTGCTCTCCACCTCCCAGTCGTCGGCCCCTGCTCTCCACCTCCCAGTCGTCGGCCCCTGCTCTTCGCCTCCGAGTCGTCGGCTCCTGCTCTCCACCTCCCAGTCGTCGGCTCCTGCTCTCCACCTCCCAGTCGTCGGCCCCTGCTCTTCGCCTCCCAGTCGTCGGCTCCTGCTCTCCACCTCCCAGTCGTCGGCTCCTGCTCTCCACCTCCCAGTCGTCGGCTCCTGCTCTCCACCTCCCAGTCGTCGGCTCCTGCTCTCCACCTCCCAGTCGTCGGCCCCTGCTCTCCACCTCCCAGTCGTCGGCCCCTGCTCTTCGCCTCCGAGTCGTCGGCCCCTGTTCTCCGCCTCCCAGTCGTCGGCCCCTGTTCTCCGCCTCCTAGTCGTCGGCCCCTGTCCTCCACCTCCCAGTCGCCGGCTCCTGGCTTTCTTCCCGATGGTTGTCACTCCAGACTCCCACTCACACCTTGATTGTTGACTCCGAGCCCGGAGCCCGGGCTCCGGCGCCCGGTCGCGCTCGTCGCCGAAGCTGCCGGCTCATCCCAATGTCACGCGTGCTGCGGGCTGCGGTCGGTCCGGTCTCGCCCGCCGCCAGAGCTGCCCGCTCGTCCCAATGTCACGCGTGTGGTCTGAGAGGGCCATCGCTGGCTCGTTCGGCCCTGCCTCCCCGTCCCCCGAGGCCGCTCAGGGCCGCTCCAGCCAGAGGCCGGCTGTCTCCGCACGTGCCACGGGCCGCACGCCGCACGCCGCACGCCGCCGTATTGACCCCGTGGTGCGTGACGTCAGCGTCCGCTTCATACCTGCCGGCCGCAGTGTCGGCCGCCGGACGACATGCTCAAATACGGCCGGGCGTGGGCGTCGAGGGCCGCCGCGCCGCGCCTCCAAAGCTCGCCTGGCTGAGGTAGGGCCGGTAGCCCGCCGGGCTGGGACGACCTCGTCCCGTGCTGGCCTAGTACCGTCTGACCTCGTCCCGCGCTGACCTCGTCCCGTGCCGTGTCGTCAGGAGGAGGCCGTCGATTCGACGCAGCCGGAGAGCGTCCCGGCCCGGAACGGCACGGCGGCGGCGTCGGAGCGCGCGCCTCTGCAGCGGCAGAGCCGGAGCCTGGAGCTGCCGACGACGCGCAGCGACCACGGACCGCACACGCTGCCCAGACAGAAGGTGAGATGTGAGGCGTCACAGCACGCTGCCCAGACAGCAGGTGAGATGTGAGGCGTCACAACGCGCTGCCCAGGCAGAAGGTGAGATGTGAGGCGTCACAGCATGCTGCCCAGACAGAAGGTGAGAGGTGAGGCGTCACAACGCGCTGCCCAGACAGGTGATATTTGAGGCGTCACAGCATGCTGCCCAGACAGGTGATATGTGAGGCGTCACAGCATGCTGCCCAGACAAGGTGAGATGTGAGGCATCTCAACACGCTGCCCAGACAGAAGGTGATATGTGAGGCGTCACAGCATGCTGCCCGGACAGGAGGTGAGATGTGATTCGTCACGACACGCTGCCCAGACAGGTGATATGTGAGGCGCCACAGCACGCTGCCCAAATGGAAGATGAAACCGTCTAATGCTGGCTCGTGGCGCCACGCGCTGGTCAGACAAGGTGATCAACCCCGAATAAAAAGGCAAGATGCTTTCCAGACACGAAGTGAGATCCGGTGCTAACACCATGGCTAAAGTCGTTTCGCCCCGTCTGGACCGAAGTTAACGTCCGAGTGCCTTCCATCGTCGTGCCTCGCATACCATGGCCACAGAAGCCAGGCTGCGGCCACGCTCCGTCAAGCCCCAGCCATGTCCTTGGCCCGGGCATCCAGCCTTGGCAGGCCAGCACCTGCCGTGCAGAGCCGTTGCGTTCCGTCCGGACGGAATCCGAGCCCTGCACCGGGACCGGCCAGACCGACGGCGCTCCCGCGAGACCCGGCCCGGCGGCGGCGCTCGTCTGGGCCCGGGGGCGGCTCGGATGTCCGGTGGTACCGGCGGCGACCTTCGCGGCGCGGCGGCGACGTCACTCGACCCGCCGCTGCCGACGCCGCGCGGAGGTGTCGGTGCCGCCGCCCCGGTGCCCGGTGGAGCGGCGGTCTGCGCCGCGTCGAGTCTAGTCGGACAGCCGTCGATGTTTCAGCGTGGGCGGCGGCAAGTTCGACGTAATAGCTGTCGATGCGTCTCGGCTGTGAGGAGTCGGGCCGCCGCGCTGTCAGCCGCGCAGAACTCGGCTGGCGATTGCGGCTCGAGTGCCGGCGCGGTTGTATGTTCATCACTCCGTGGCACGTCGACGCGAGGCTCGCTGACGCTTTGAGCGCTGTTCAAGGAACGGCGCTGGTTTGTCGTTTCCCGCAGTCGGTGAGGCAGGGTTTGACGTCATGCTTACGCGAGCGTCAGCCGTGGTACGGTTTGAAATAGCCTCTCCGTGTCCCGGCGACCGAGCGTCAGGCGCACGTTCGGTGCGTGTGCCCGTGCCGGATGCGATCAGGATGGCACGCGTCTCGAAATGAATAGGCGCTCGCGCGCTTTGTCCTACAGAAATAGAGGTGTCGAAGCCTCCGAAGATGGAGGATTAGCGGCAAAGTTCCCCGTCCGAGCGATGTTGAGCCCACGACAATCCTGATCACACGCCGGCGACCTTCCGCGATGTTGAAGTCATGTACGCTTCGTGTAAAACACGGTCGATCTCACGGAGTTTCTGGGACGTGGCCGCTCCCGTCAGTGGATCTGGCGTGTGGGTCCCGAGCTGTTCGTGTGCCTCGGTTTTTTTTTTGCTGGCGTCCTCGATTGCAGTAGCCTTAGTGGGCGCGCGTTCGCATCTGGGATGAGTCGTCATCAAGCTGAATAAATGATGCAGGGTCGTTCGATTTGGGGGCATATGAGCGCTTCGTATCTCCCCTCTGTCTCTATCTATTTCTCTCCCCCTCGTTCTCCCTCTCCCATCCCCCTCTCTCTCTCTCCCCCCTCTTTCTCTCTCCCTCTCTCCCCCTTTCCATATGTGTTGTTCTTTGCCTCTCTCTTTCCCTCTGTCTTGACGTCGACGTCGGGTCGGTCGCCGTCGGAAGCGTGGTGTTGCAGCGAGCTGAAAATCCCGGGACATCCATTCCGTTCGATTACGCAGCAATCGCGCCGCCCAATATAACCAATATAAATGTATGCTGAAATGGCGAGTGAAAATCGGATTCGGTGAGTGTTTGTTCATGGTACTTGTGTTCCTGATTTCACATCTCTTGGCGTTAAACTTTGTAAGTTTTACATCATGTTAAGACGCACGAATGCGTAGGATACAATTTGACATTTTTAAGGCATACGACAGACCCTTGATGATTTATTTGTCCACACCGGAATACTGGGATGAAGCATAGTAATGATTTGATCAGAGCCTTTGAGTTCGCTAACCTTAAGTATAACCCTAACCTTAATACCCCCCCCCCCCCCCATTCTTTCTTCTCGGCAGAGTGCGTGACCGAAGGTGCTGATGGGCACCCACGCCATGTGTATCTCTGACCTGCCCCTCCCTCCCGGCAAAGTGCTGATTGGCACCCACGCTATGCATATCTCTGACCCGCCGCACCCTCCCAGCAGAGCTCGTGCCGGAAAGCGCTGATGGGCACCCACGCCATGTGTATCTCTGACCCGCCCCTCCCTCCGGGCAGAGTGCATGACGGAAAGTGCTGATGGGCACCCACGCCATGCATATCTCTGACCTGCCCCTCTCTCCCGGCAGAGTGCGCGACTGAAGGTGCTGATGCGCAGCCACGCCATGCGGGAGGAGACATCGCCACCGCCAGACGTGGAGCTGCCTCCCCGCTACAGCCTCAGCGTCAGCCACAAGCTGCGCAAGTTCCACAGCCAGGGCAGCACCGAGGGCCGCGCCGGCAGCCCCCACCTGTCCAGAGGTGAGTCCCCACCCCTCCAGAGGTGAGAGGTGCTACCTGTCCAGAGGAGGCAGTCCCGCCTCTCAGGAGGTGAGAGCGTCGCCAGTGCCCACCTCCCCACCGGTCCTGAGGTGAGCGGCGATTCCAGTCCCCCACGTCTCGGGAGGGGCGAGCGCTTCGTCGCCAGAAGTGGGAGGCGTCTCATCGCCCGGGTCACCTGAGGGAACGATGTCCTCGCTTGGCTACCTCCCGTGGGATCTACAGTTGAGTAAGCTCAGTTCAGAGGCATGTGTACACGTAGCACAGGTTCATAGCTGTCACAGCTAGCTGTTTGTAGACGGCGCGCCTTTGAACACCAGTATCTGACTGACTGTTTGCTGCTCACTGGGGAACCACGACTTTCCGGTGCACACTTGTTTTTTACCTGTGATTTTCACTCGATGGCGGCGAATTTCCGTTCGTGTCATGGCTTTGTTTCCCATCACATCTGAAAGTCAAATAAACTGGTCAGGTACCTGTGCTGCTGGCTGCTATGCCATGCTATGCTATGCTACGCATTGCTCTGCCACGTTTGCCGGTTGTGATTTTCTCTCTCAAATAATTGTCGCCCCTCTCTCCCCCGAACTGCTTTGTGCATGGGTATAACCCATCACGATGACTATCACACAGAATGGTTCTGCTCTGCAGTTCCTCATGCTGTCGGCGCCGTCGGGTGTCTTTTACGCACTGGACAACAGAGTTAGGCGCCGAGTGAGGCGGACTTGAGCGGTGTCGGGCTCCGCTGGTCCGTACACCGCTATTGAGCGCTGTCAGGCTCCGCTGGTCTGTACGCGATGATTGGGCGCTGTCGGGCTCCGCTGGTCTGTACACCGCTATTGAGCGCTGTCAGGCTCCGCTGGTCTGTACGCGATGGTTGGGCGCTGTCAGGCTCCGCTGAGCTGTACACCGCGGTTGAGCGCCGAGCTGTACACCGCGGTTGAGCGCCGTCGGGCTCCGCTGAGCTGTACGTGGCCGTTGAGCGCTGTCGGGCTCCACCAATCGGTACGCGGCGGCGTGCTTGGCTGTCCGATGACGGGTTGTCCCGACGCCGCAGAGTCCTCCAGCGAGGTGTACACGGACAGCAAGGGCGTGGATGTGGAGCAGTTCCTGGTCGAGGCGCTCAACGCCAACATCAAGGACCAGGCGCACCTGCTCAAGTACGAACAGGACATGCTCAACTTCATCAAAGACAACATGTGAGTGGCGGGGCAGCGCGGGTCGGCTCGTCCGATCCGTCGGGGATGTGGTGTCGGCTGCAGCTCCGGGGGTGTGAGCAGCTGTGCTGCGCGGGCTGACTGAACCTCGCCACGGCGACATGTCGATGGCGGTGGTGGCACAACTCCCGGCGTCTTAGGCAGCTTCAAGGACGACGTGTGAGTGACGGTACGGGTCGAGGACATTGCCATAAGTGGTGGTAAGTGGCATTGACAGTTGTAACGCTTTTGATCGCGGAATGTGCTCCGCATGGTGGAAAAGGATCCGGCAGCGTGACGTGCGTATCTATAAACTAACTTGTTCCCACTGCCCCTATCCTGCCCCCCTGACGTATTCGCACCGCCCTTTGTAAACTGACGTGTTCGCTCCGCCTCTTCCCTGCCCCCCTGACGTGTTCGTTCCGCCCCCGCCCTGCCCCCCCCCCCCCCCCCGACGTGTACTCACTGCCCTTTGACGTGACTCAGGACGGGGGCGTTTGTTGATGTTTTTCGGCAAGGTTGAAGATTCTCAGTCCACACTTTTGAAGATGTCTGTCCCGTATTGGACTTGAGCAGAATGAAAAAGATTAATCGACCGCACAAATTGCTTCCCGGCTAAATCTGTAGAAAATCGCGGCATATTCTCCTGATCCATTTGCTGTGTTTGTGGCAGGAGTTAAGTCTTTCTTCCCCTCTAATTTCGTAAGCCCCTCGCGTTAACACGAGCACAATAGGAGGCGGGTACCACCTGGCGGTGCGCTTTCAGGCAGCGTTTAGTCCAGGGCGTCACGGTCGGAGACAAAGCGCGAGAGCGGCAACATTTCTGATGCTTGTGATGTGTTGGGGTTTGGTTTGTGAAAGGTTATTGTCTGTTGTAGAAATTCACTGTTGTAGAAAGGTGACGTTAGAAAGTCAAATTTCTTCCATAATAACGTTGAACGTGAAGCACAGTCGGTGCCTCATTTGTTCCTCAGCACCGACCAGGCGGGGCTGTGGGTTGGAAGCTACCACTATCGTACATGCGTTCTGATCGCCTGGTAACTGTGATCGATGATGCTGCCCACGCTGTTTTGCCTAGCTACGAGCCTGTGTTCCAAGAAACTGTGGTTGGCTCGCAGGCTGCACAGTCTGTTGCCGCGCCAGAGGCTTACGAGCGGGGCTAAATCCTTCGCCGTATATTTTATCGGGGAATAAAGCAGTGCCGTCACAAAAGTCCCCATGGATGTTTGCGACGAGGACTTACATTACGTTTCGTCATGTTGCTGCTGACGTGAGATCGTCCTATCCGGCTTCCGACCAGGCCAGTGTCTGCGTGTAGACGGTCCGTGTTGAAGCAAGTTCGTCCGATACCACAGCCTTATCGCACAGTACTTCTGACTGAAAGGAGGAAGTATAACGGCGGTGTCTGATGCTCGTACTTGGGGTTATCCGCATATTAACCTCTTTTTAAACTCTACGGGTGGCCCAAGTTACGAGTGACCATTCGTGGTCAGCATGGTCTCTACCCGGGAGGCCATGCCGCGAGTGCTGAGACCCTTCCGGCTGATCGAGCACTCCGAACGTCAACCGAGCGGGCGCCAACATCAGCGGCAGCCGGCGCTGCCGCCCGACCCCGCCGCCGCCGCGGCCACTTCGGCGGGCAGCTGATCGGCAGGCACCGGCCAATCAGATCGATTGTCGCGCCGTGACGTCACCGGCGTGTTTGGCCTGGCCGGCTACGCTGGCCGGCAGCAGGCGATCCGAACGGAAGCGGCGTCGCTCGCCGCGTATCGCCGCTGGCGCCGGCGCCGGCGCCTGAGTCACGCCTCCCGACGGCGTGCCCGGCGCCGGTGCCGGCCGCCGCCTCCTCCTGCCCCGCTCGGACGTCTGCCGGCGCCCGTCAGGGGCGCAGGGGGCGCCAGCGGCGGCCGCCGACCAAGCCGGCGCCGCCAGGAGGCGTGGGCGGCGGCGCGGCCGCTGGTGCCGGGCCGGGCCGGCTCGGCGCGATCGATGGTCGATTGTTGTCGGTAACAGTTCGTGGAGCCGGCGCCCGCTAATCACTGTCACGGTCGAGGTCGGTCTGACTCACGGTCGGCACGCGCCGCGCCTGACACGGCCTGCGCCCCGCCCTCCCCCCGCTTCCTTCCGCCTCCCGCCTCCCAAGGCCTGCTTCCCGTTCTATGCACGTCTTTGCCTCACCTCTCGCTTTCTCCCTCCTTTCTTCCCTCCCGTCGCTCTCCCCCCTCCCGCTCCCTTCCCCTTGCTCTTCTTGCCCATCTTCCCCCTTATTCCTTTTCCTCGCCCCTCTCTCTCTCTCTGGAATCGTGTTGTCGGTGGTCGACGCGGGTCCCTCCGAGGGTTGATCGTGTGTCTGATGGGCTGTTGCAATATACATCGGGCGCGACAGTCGAAACCGCGTCCATGATTTAGTGGAGGTGTCGCCGGCCGGACCGGAGGGCCGGGTCTTCCCGGACCGCCACTGCCTCGCTGCGCGGTGGTCGCCCACCGCTGAGTGGGCAGGCTTTGTCGTGATTTTGAGGTGGTGAGTTGGCTCGCTTCGGGAAATACGGCATGCCCTGGTTTCTCGGCGGCAATTGATTGACATTTTTCCGTGTTTTGTCGACGTTTTGTGGCGACGTTGCGATGATGACTTCGAGTCGTCGATTGCCAGGCTTCGTTTTTGTTGGATGAACCAGCCACGTGGTGTACATGTTATGCGTGACATTATGCCCACGCTCTGGTTTCGTCTTCACGATGGCCCACCCACCGCGCCAGTGCGTGACCTTCCGCTACAAAGTCGCTGAGTCGGGGCACTGCGTTCTTCCAAGTTGTATGCTACGTGTCGTTTCGAGTCTTGCGACGCGCATGTTGAAAGAAGCCTTCGTCTGGCCATTTCGTTTTGAGTTCGGTGCACTTTGCGGGTATACGTTAAACCGCTGAACCGTACGTGCGCAGCCGTCTCAGGTGCACCTGTATGCTGGGCTTCCGGTACAGGGGCGACACCACCGCCTACGGGTCTGCCGGCGCTGTCCGGTGCAGACGGCGCGCACCGCAGCGTGCCGCGACCCCTGACCTTCGGCCACCTGTAACTCTTCCGCCGTGGTCGGCGACCTTCGGCCTCCCCCGCCTCGGCCGCCCACCTGCCCAGCTCGGCTCGGCTCGGCTCGCCACCGGTGGTGACCTTTGGCGGCTGGATGACCTTTGCTGGGCGGCGGTGGCGGTGCGTGGTCGCCGCCGCGCCTGGCCTGGAGCCGACAGAGCAGCGGCTCTGTGTCCAGCTCAGCCGGCCGCCGCGCCTGGCCTGGAGCCGACAGAGCAGCCGCTCTGTGTCCAGCTTAGCCGGCCTGTCGGAGCGGATCGGCGGCCGCCGCGCCGCCCGATGACGGTCCGACGACGACGGCCGCCGGAGATGCGGCTGCCGCTCGATGCCGTTCGCCGGCGACGCGCAGGCGAGCGCCGGCGGCCGGGCCGGCAGTCGATAATGACATTGATCTCGCCGCGCCGGGCGGTGACCGGTGTCGCCGGCGTCACGCGTCGGGTCGACAGCGGCTGTGGCCGCCGGCCGCCGGCGGTCAGGGCCGGCTCCGACCGCTGGGGTCCCCCCCTGCGGCAAGGCGTGGGACGCTGGAGGCCGGCCTTCCCGGCTGCTCGGCCGGTGACTGGAAGGCTGTATTAGGAAGACTGTCGGCCTGGTATTAGGTGCGGCATCGCTGCCTAAACAGACCATCAGTGAACACCTTGTGCGCTGGAAATCCCGGCAGGCTGGACGCCGGCTCGTGCCGCCGGCGAGTGCTTGCGCCAGCTTGTGGGGCCGTGGGACTGCTAGAGTGCACTAGCTTTATTCGTGCGTTTTCACCGGCTCACAATGACACGGCTGGGGGTCACAATGGCTTGCAGTGCCACTCGATAGAGCAGTCTGCAGCCGTGGGGCGAACTAAGCATCTGCGCTCGTGCCAGCCCATGTGTGGGCGTCGCTGCGGGGCCGCACCGCGATGTCCCGTAGGGATGGGTGCAGACCGACTGCGCCCGGTGAGCCGCCGCCGACGCGCCGTCTGACCGGCCGCCGCGGTGTCGTGCCGCGGCTGCGGCGGCGGCGGCCGAGCTGCTCGGCACCGTCGCCAGCTGTTGGGACCTCTCAGCCTCCGCCGGCGCCGACCGCCCCTGCTCGGGATGAGGCCGGCTCATGGCCCGCCTCGCACGTCACGCGACTCGGCCCGGCCAATCCGGCGCGTCACGCCACGACCGTCACGCGCGCTGACCGCCGCTAATCCTAGCGGCGCTGTCACGTGCGCGGCTCGCCCCGGCTCGGCCGCGCCGCACGTGGCGGCACGTGGGCTGGAGCGGTGCGGCGAGGCGCCGCTGGAGGGGATGCCGGCCGGGCTCCGAGGCGGAGCGAGCCGACCGGCCGCTTGGCAGGTCATGCGCCCGGCGCCCGGCGAGCCAGCCGGCAGGTGTCACGCTCCAGTCTGCCGTGCCAGCAGAGACGGCGCCGAGCCGGGCCGGGCTCACTGGGGCTCACGCTCACCGAGCGGACGTCCCTGAGCTTACAGTAAGGCCATCCTCAAGCTGACGCTCCTGGGCTCATGGTGAGACCCACCCTCGAGGTGGTGCCCCTGAACTCACAGTAAGACCCACTTTCAAGCTGACGCCCCTGAGCTCACAGCGACACCCACCCTCGAGCTGACGCCCCTGAGCTCACAGTGAAACCCACCCTCGAGCTGACGCCCCTGAGCTCACAGTAAGACCCACTTTCGAGCTAGCGCCCCTGAGCTCGCAGTAAGACCCACTTTCGAGCTAGCGCCCCTGAGCTCGCAGTAAGACCCACTTTCGAGCTAGCGCCCCTGAGTTCGCAGTAAGACCCACTTTCGAGCTGACACAGTTGGGCGCAGAGTCGAGCCCGCCAGCCGGCTGACGCCTGCCTGGCTGCACGCTGTGGACGCCGCGTGCAGACGAGCGCCGCGAGACGGACGATGAGCGGCGAGCGGGCGTGGGCGGGGCGGCGCGGCGCTGGTCACTAGGGAGCTGAGCTCGCGCTCGCGGAAGCTGCGCCGGTAACCCGGAAGGCCTGCCACCGCCCACACTTCAGCACGAACAAAACTGGTGTTACGTCTGGTGCGTAATATTGGACGGAATTTATGCTTGCGTCGCGGTGCAGTGCCGCTGCTGCAAGGACGACGTACAGGTGGTGCGGCTTCCCGTTCCTCGTTTAATTAACCTTTACAAGCTTCGATGTGACTTATATCGTAGTGATGTCAGCGTAATGATAATGTCAGCGTTCGAGTGATGGTAATGTTCACGGCCCACAGAATCACGTCTTTAAGGGACGCAAGCCTGTGGAATGTCGTTAGCCATCCGATTGCCGCTCTTGGTCAGACCAGCGTCGCCTTCGCTCCTCCCAGTTTGCCGTGGCGAGCACGCATATGTCCTGATGTGGGGAGAGCGCTGCCGCCGTCCGGCTGTGCGGCCAGCGTGCAGGCCCTGACGGCCACCCGGCCGTGGTTGCCCTGACCGGTCGGTATGCCGGCCCTGACCCGCCACCTGGCCGTGGCTGCCCTGACCGGTCGGTATGCCGGCCCTGACCCGCCGCCTGGCCGTGGCTGCCCTGACCGGCCAGTACGCCGGCCCTGACCCGCTGCTCGACTGTGGCTACGACCAGTATGCCGGTCCTGACTCGCCGTCTGGCCGTGGCTGCCCTGACCGGCCAGTACGCCTGCCCTGACCCGTTGCCCGGCCGTTTACAGGCGCGCTGAGTTCCGGTTCCCGCCGCAGTCGTCCTACCAGCGCATGCTGGTGCACCGGGCCGCCGTCTACTTCGGCCTCGACCACAACGTCGACCCCACAGGCACCTCCGTCATCGTCACCAAGACGGATCGCACGCGCATCCCCGAGCACAGGTGTGAGCGCGCGCGGAGAGGCCGCCGCCGGGCGGGGAGCGGGCCGGCGTCGAGTGCAGTCCCCGAGCACAGGTGTGCACGCGCGGGGAGAGGCGGCCGCCGGGCGGGGGAGCGGGCCGGCGTCTGGTGCAGTCCCCGAGCACAGGTGTGCACGCGCGGAGAGAGGCCGCCGCCGGGCGTGGAACGGGCCGGCGTCGAGTGCAGTCCCCGAGCACAGGTGTGTACGCGCGGGGAGAGGCGGCCGCCGAGCGGGGAGCGGGCCGGCGTCGAGTGCAGTCCCCGAGCACAGGTGTGCACGCGCGGGGAGAGGCCGCCGCCGGGCGGGGAGCGAGCCGGCGTCTGGTGCGGTCCCCGAGCACAGGTGTGAGCGCGCGCGGAGAGGCCGCCGCCGGGCGGGTGGCGGGCCGGCGTCGGGTGCAGCGGCCGGGGCACCGGGGAGTGTTGCGCTCGCAGCTTGGAGCTGCAGGGAGCGTGATGATGTGCCGGCCAGTGCGGTGGGACGGGGAGCTGTGGGAGCAGCTGCCGGGACAGTCGACTGGGTGGGTGCGGCGGGACAGTCAGCTGGGTTGGTGCGGTGGAGCTGGCGGTGGCGCAGAGCCGCGCCTTGATTTAAGGGAATGTTCTATATTTGTGTGCGTTTTTTTAACTGAAGCAGCCCTCTTGAAGATTATTCGGTGCAGTTCAGAGCCCTGCCCTTAATGAGATATAAATCCATCTAGTTGCGGAGCGACAGGCTCGCGAAGATCTGCAGACTTTTGTGCAGGTTGTTTCAGGGTCACCCAGGCATCATAACGCCATAATAACACGTCATTCAAATATTGCGACTCCATCGGCCATGCAGCAATCAGGCCAAAAAACTGTAATGGTCGAGTCGCTCATATCTGGTGTTTGTGAGCACGATTTCCTGAAATAACGGCCGTCAATTGGCTGTCAATCACTATGATACAAGGCACGATGACTTAGCCGAACGATGTCATAGTGAGGCGCATATGTACTAAATAGAGAATTGATGTTCCGTGGAGCAGTCTTCTATTTGAAAGCATATCAAGGTTATAAGTGGGGTTACTTCATCACAACGTGTGCTCTCTTCATATCTTCAAACGTGGAGCACTTCCTTTAGGTGCCTGGAGTAGCCAGTTAGCGTACGTGGTGGAGTGGTGACCTTTCGGTGTCGGTGCGGCCGCCTTGCGAAGACCAGGCCGCCCGTATGGCTTAGTCACCGCCCGGTGGTGTGTAAGTCAGCTCCCGCCCTGGAGTGGCAGGGGAGGGGTGTCGTCCTGGACATTCGCACCGCGTCGCGCGCGCCGCCGAGGTCGAGGCGGCCCACTGACGGCGCCCACTGCTCCTCGCCAGCTTCCGTGACCTGCTGCGTGAGGACGGCGACGAGCCGAAGCGGCTGCTGAAGCGGGACGGACTGCTGGGACACTACTCCAGGGTAGGTACTGCTTGGGTGCGTAAGTGCTCGACGTCTGGGCAGCTCCCGAGCGTGCGAGCGTGTGCATTGACGTGTTTGGGCCTTGTTTTTGGTTGTTATTGGCTGGAGCAGCTTTGCTCTGTGCAATCACAGTAAGGCCCGACGGTAAGAACCGAAACAAAAGTAAGACGTCCACTTTTGGGATGTGGCAAAAAATCGGCATTGCCAATGCCACTAGTCGTAAGCGTTTCTGCTAGTTCCTGCATTTAGGGGGCGCCAGTCGGGCGCCCCTAAATAGTGCAACACCGGCGACGTTTGGGCCCTGCTAGTCGGGCGCCCCTAAATGGCGCAGCACCGGCGACGTTTGGGCCCTGCTAGTCGGGCGCCCCTAAATGGCGCAGCACCGGCGACGTTTGGGCCCTGCTAGTCGGGCGCCCCTAACTGGCGCGGCACCGACGACGTTTGGGCCCTGCTAGTCGGGCGCCCCAAATGGCGCGGCGCCGGCGACGTTTGGGCCCTGCTGGTGGGCTCTGGTCGTGACCGCGCTGGCGCCGGCGACGTTCGGGCCCTGCTGGTCGGCTCTGGTCGTGACCGCGCTGGCGCTGGCCGGCAGAGTTTCGACAGCCAGAGCTCGCTGGACTCTCGGCGCAGTCGGAGCTTCGAGGAGCGCGAGGTGGAGTACAGGAAGGCGCGCACGAGGATCTTCAGCAACCAGCAGGTGAGGCGCGGGACGAGCCTCCGTATCGCGCGGCCGTGGTTAGCCGTGTGGTGGGGGAGGGGGGACTGCGGTGTCGGATCTGTGCAGCTCCTGGTGGGCTGATCTAGGGCGCAAGTGGCGTTGGAAACAGCGATATTCGCCCGACACCCCTCCACGGTGGTTGGTTTTGAGAGAGAAGCGTTAGTGAAGCCGTCGCTCATGAGAAGCCTTAGCATATGAAGTGCTGCGTCCGCTCACGTGGGACGGGTGGGAGTAAATGCCTCTAGATGATCTGCATTTGGACCGGAGGCGTGTCATGGCAGCCTCTGTTATTGCGCAGTGGCCTGGGATGTCCGTCCATGTCAGTTGCCGGGCTTCTGAACCCGTGTTAACTCACGTCGGCTCGGAATCTAATCAGGCGCACGTTCTGGTCCGTCGCGCGCTCGCCGAGTACGTCGGAACCCTTCGTGACTCGGGTGAATTCCACTGGCCGTCCTGCCGTCTGTGACCCGAACGACACACGTGACCCCGTGCGACCTGTTTGACCTCGCCCGTCCTTTTCTGCCGCCACCTGACCACGTGTTTCGCGGCTCACTGCGCCGGTTACGACTTCTGGTCCCATCCGCCTTCCCACCCGTCTAATTAACTGATCCGACCAGACGCGAGCGACCGTTAACCCAGCCTGTCCGGTGGACCCCGCCCAGCCCCGTCACCCCTCTCCGGCCTCGGCCGCGTGACCCGGCGCTCGGCTCTGACCTGTCCGCCCCGCCGCCAGGAGCTGGACGGCGACGGCTGGCAGTCGGGCGGCGAGCGGCGCGCCGCCGCCTGGCTCGAGCCGGCCGACCCGGCGCGCCGCCAGATGCCCAAGGCGCACTCGGTCGACCAGCCGCCGCGCTACGCCCGGCTCAATCAGACCGACAGCGTGGAGAGCACCAACAATCTGCGCGTGGCGGCGGCGGCCGGCGCCGGCGCTGGCGGCGGTGGCGGCGGCGGCGGCGCGCGGCCGCCGGGCGTCTCCAAGTCGCACAGCTTCGGCGGCTACACGGGCGCGGCGCTGAGCCGCGGCGACAGCGCCGCCAGCTCGGCCGGCAGCGCGCGCCTCGCCAAACAGGGTGAGCGCCGGCGCGGCTGGGCGCGGCGGACGGGTGACACCTCCAGCCGGGTGACGGGTCTGGCGGGCGGCCTGCAGCGAACTCGGTGCCCGATGCGGCGCCGGCTCGGTATCAGTGCCCAGTGGCACCCTTGTGTCTCACGTTTATCATCGGTCAAAGTCCCGATCGCGCGGATTAGATTACGGGCATCGGCCAGCAGCATCGCGTGGCAGGCTTGCCGCGTACACGGGGAAGTCACCGGACGCGTCGGAGGCCGTCTGGGCCGCCGCTGGTCATCGGTGTGCAGCGCGTCTGGCGCGCGACGGGCGCGGCGGTCTCGGGGGGGCGGCCGCGCGCGCCACGCCTGACGCCCCGTCGGCCGTCCGCTTCAGACTCGTCGGCGAGCAGCGTGTCGCGACTGAGCCCCTCCAGCGGCTACAAGACGGCCTCGGTCAGCCAGGTGACGCTGGACTCCACGCCCTCGCCCACCTCACAGCACCAGGTGAGGCTCGGCCCGGCGCCGCGATCCGGGCACGATATGCGCGTCACGTTTGGTTCGGTGAAACTTCAGCGCCGCGTGAGCTTTGGGAACGTTGCCGTTGGGACAGGGCACGAACGTTGGGAACGTTGGGAACGTTGCCGTTGGGACGGGCACGCCGCGTTACGGTTGCGCTCATGCCGTTTTCGAGCGGCTGGGTCGTTAGACCTAGCCAGGGTCGTTAGAATATGGAATTCCCCTTACCTTCTTACGTAAGACAGAATCTCGCAGCGACCAACTTACATAACACTGGAGATTATGCAACACCAAGCGACGGCACGGAAGCCTCGCATATTTGAGCCTTGTGAATTGAAATTTTCAAAACGTTAGGGATGGCCTGGCTTCTACACGCAATGCTGGCAATCTTTTACCGTAGGTAGCAGGCTTTCCATTGCTTTACCGTGCTCGCTATTGACCCAGGCTCTCGAGCGATCCGTTCTGCCCGCCGTGGTACTCAGATGCACCAGCGACGCGCCCAGCTGCCCGGCATGGTCCTTCGACGTAGCCGACACTGTGGAGCGTAATGGTCCGGGCGGGGCGGCCTCCCTCACCACGTGCAGCGGGCACTGTCGGCAGATGTTTGCGGATGGGTCGGTCGCTGACACCAGCGGCGATAAGGGCAACACAACGCCCGGCTCAAGTCCAGCCGGCTTCAGCATAGCGCCCGCGGATGCCACTTTCTAACGTCGGCTCTGGGAGCTGATCCGAAAAAGTTGACCTCATCTACCCCTGAACCGGATTTTTCTCCGGATCACGACCAATTGAATTTTCGTCCGCGGCATTAAGATGTTATTCCTATAATAATATTTCGTAGATTCAAAATTGTTGTCCTGCTGAGGAATGAGTTCTTATTTCATGTTTATGTGAGCAGCTTTTTTGCGAAAAACTTGAATGGTGTGGAATTCACAAAAAAACACCCTAATAAATCATATTAAGGAATCACTGATGACTACGGCTGTCGCTGATCGTGTGGCATCACCACCACGACCACGATTGTGCGGTAAGCACACTGGCACTGTTGGGAAAACATGTAGTTATCTTTATCTGAGTCACCGTATACTTTTAAAAGCCGCCGCATACTGTGGTCAATTGTTCTTTATCCCAATCCAGGCGTCGTCATTTGAAAGAAATGACGAAAATAACACGAACAACATATGCCGACTGGCTTAACTTATGAGGAAGTAAGCATGCCAACAACATGAGATACATATGAGATATTATTTGGTGCAAAATAAACATACTGTTAACAGTGGTATGTTTAGGTATCTGCTACCTAGCATACCAGCAGTTGGAATAATTGTCCTGCATTAATTTTGTCCAGTATTCCCTCTTTGCTCATCTGTATTGAAGGGGCTCAGGGGAGCATGGGGGCGCATATCAGCATTCGCGGTTCAGCCACCCCCCCCCCCTCGTCCCGTAAGCATATAAAGTGAAGCCCTTGCTAGCTCCCATAGAGAGGCGGACAAATCTGGTTAGGGACAGGGTGCCCTTGGGAATGGAATGTGGAGGTTATTGGAGTATGGAAGTCAGAGTTATGGGACGTGCAGTGTACGAGTCATGCAAGACACCGTATCTGGCGTCTGAGGGGACCCGATAGGCGGCATCGCTCACCATGAATGTCAGGACCTCGGGTCGATGCTGCCCCTTGCCGCCGGGTCAGCCATCACCGACAGGCTCCTGTACTCCATGAATACGATGCGCCCATGACAAGCGACGGCCTGACCTCATGCCCCTCCGCCCTGGCACCAGACCGGTTGCAGTGTAACCGCGAAACTTCGCTTTGTCAGCCCGCGGGGCGCGGTGTGACCCCGTGCCTGTGTCGTGCCCCCAGACCGGCTACAGTCTGGAGGAGGTGGTGTCAGTCGGCGGTGGCGGCGGCGGCGGCGGTGGCGGCGGCGGCGGCCAGCCGGTGCTCTGGGCCGTCAGCAACCTGGAGGACGTACCGGCGGGCTCCGTCATCATCGACCCTCACTCGGGCCAGCCGTACCTGAACCAGGACCGCACCGTGTACCGCTACAACCCGGCCAACCCGCCGCTGCTGGCGCCACTGGCGCCGCCGGCCGCCGCCGCCAGCGGCGCCAGTCCGCCGGCGGCTCTGCCCTTCCAGCTGCCGGTGGGCGCCAGCCCGCCGGGCGGGCCGACCGCCGGCGTGCGGTACGTGTCGCCCGGCGCCGAGCCCGCCGGCCCGCCGCCCCCGCCGCCTCCGCCACCGCCGCCGTCCGTCGGTCTGCAGTACGTGCCGACGGCCGGCCTGCAGTACGTGGCGTCGGCGGGCAGCCCACCGTCGCAGGGCGCGCCGCTGCAGTGCGTGCCGCAGCCGTCGGCCGGCTACTACGCCGTGCCGCCGCTGGTGGCCGGCCAGCAGCGGGCGCACGGGCTTCTCCAGGTAACGGACCGCTGCGGGCGGCGGTCACGCGACCGCGGGAGGAGTTGTGGCTCGGCGGGACACCGGGCCAGGGCAGTAAAGCGGGGGGGGGGGGGGGCGTTCAGGCGGTGCAAAAGTTGAAGCCTTTCTTATAACGTCATTTAAAGCGTCGCCTTCAGGGATTGCAAAGTTTCGAGGCGAGAGCAAGGCTTGTGTGACTCTTTGGTCGCCGACTTGTGTGCGCGTGCCTTAGCAAGGGCCGGCGTTCTCCCGTCGGCCGCACGGCGCCCGCCACCGGAGCGTCGTCGGCCAGAGGTGCGTCAGCTAGCCGGCCGCGCGCTAGCCGCCATTCTCGGTGCCGTTGGCAGACCCAGCAAGCTGAGAAGCCGCTGGCGGAGGTGGGCCAGCAGCTGATGGGCTTGACGCTGGCCGAGCACGGCCAGGGCGACGCCCAGCTGGCGGCGCAGCAGCAGTACCTGCTGACCTACCGCACGGCCCAGCCCGCTCAGCAGCACCAGCAGCACCAGCAGCAACAGCACCAGCAGCAACACCACCAGCAGCAACAGCAGCAACAGCAGCAGCAGCAGATGTACTGCCTGCCGGGCCCGGCCGTGCCTCTGCGCTACATGTACCATCAGCTGGTGGGCCCGGAGCAGCCGCAGCATCAGCCGTGTACGTGACGGCCACTCAGCCTACGAGTGCCAGGGGAAGGACTATGCTGCTATCTACTAGGCGGAGTACTCCCTCTGCATACGTTACTTTGTCTGGTTTTGTTTCCGTTTGAAACCCGGGAAAAGGATGTAAACTGACCTGTGTACGGTGATATTCGGGCGCATTTTGGTGGCGACGCCGGGGCAGCTTGTCCTAACGTCGTTAAGTGCGCCCAGTTTCGAGACGACGCTCTTTTTTGGAAAATTTTGAACTTAACGGGCGAAACTTGTCTCTCGCCACTGGACGCCGCCGTTCTCCGCCGTCGCTGCCTGCCGCTCACCTGCCACCTGTCTCTCGCCACCGAGCTTTGCCACCGTCTTGGCGAGCGTGGGCCCGCGGTTTCCGCGACTTCAGCTCGGACTTCGGCGGATGAATCAGACTGCGTCTCTGAGTTACCCCACTTTTTGCCCTGTGTTTTGCGATGAGCGGACGCGCGTCATGACCTGGCCTCCCCGCCGCAGCCTACATGGGCGTATACCCGGGCGGCGGCACCACCCTGAGCTCGGCGCCGGCGCACGAGGCCGGCTACTACATGACCTCGCCTCCGGCCGCCGGGCCGCCAGTTTACCCGCTGTCGCCGTTCTACGGCCAGCAGACGTACGCGGGCGCGGCCGGCCGGCCGGCCGCCGAGCCGTCAGCCGTGCCGCAGCAGGTCAGGCAGCGGGGGCACCGGGCAGGCCGAGCAGGCTCGGCTGGGGGAATACTGGGCAGGCTGGGCTGGGGGAGTACCGGGCAGGCCGAGCAGGCTCGGCTGGGGGAGTACCGGGCAGGCTGGGCTGGGGGAGTACTGGGCAGGCCGGGCTGGGGGAGCACTGGACAGGCTGGTCTGGGGAAGTGCCGAGCAGGCTGGGCAGAGGCTGGAAGTGATTAGTCTTTTTTGTGGGCTGCTGAAGTTGGGGAGGCACGGAGCGCGCGGCAGCGATGTTACAGGCGTCCCGGTAACCATTGGGTTGGATCACAGGGCGCGAAAAAATGCCGTGTTCGGGCATTAGATTCGCATGCCTTGGCGAATTTAAATGTTCCGTGCATCATTCGGGGACATCAAAACATTAAGCAGCGGCGAGCCAGCCGTGTAACCAGCACGTGTCCGTGTCCAGGTGCTGGGGTACGCCGCCCAATACCCGTCACTGGTGTCGGCCGGGCCGCCGGTGGCCGGCCGTCTAATGAACGGGCACCGACTGCGCTCGGCCGAGTCGCTGGACGACTCGCTGCTGCTGCACCACCACCACCCGCACCCGCTGGCGGCGCCGGCGCCCGCCTTCCAGCGGCCCGTACCGCTCAGTGAGTGCTGTCCCGGGCCGCCACCAGTCGCGCTGCTCGGGCCGTGTTAGCCGCCTTACTGTCCTGGTGGGAGGCGAGTTTCGTTACATAAGTATGCTTTGCATCGTAGATCTTGAGATGGTGATCCCTAAATGCTGCAGTGCCAGTTTGGTCAATTGTATTTTCTCCAGACTGAAATTGTAAATGGCTGACTCGTTTAGCACTCGTTCCGTCCGCGCGACTCTGTCATGAGATGGCGGACGGTCCTCGGTCGACTCTGTCATGAGCTGGCGGCGGACGGTCCCCGGTCGACTCTGTTATGAGCTGGCGGAGGATGGTTCCCGGTCGACTCTGTCATGAACTGGCAGCGGATGGTTCCCGGTCGACTCTGTCATGAGCTGGCGGCGGACGGTCCCCGGTCGACTCTGTTATGAGCTGGCGGAGGATGGTTCCCGGTCGACTCTGTCAAGAGCTGGCAGCGGACGGTCCCCGGTCAACTCTGTCGTGAACTGGCGGAGGATGGTCCCCGGTCGACTCTGTCATGAGCTGGCAGCGGACGGTCCCCGGTCGACACTGCTATGAGCTGGCGGAGGATGGTCTCCGGTCGACTCTGTCATGAGCTGGCAGCGGACGGTCCCCGGTCGACTCTGTTATGAGCTGGCGGAGGATGGTCCCCGGTCGACTCTGACATGAGCTGGCAGCGGATGGTTCCCGGTCGACTCTGACATGAGCTGGCAGCGGATGGTTCCCGGTCGACTCTGACATGAGCTGGCGGAGGACGGTCCCCGGTCGACTCTGTCAAGAGCTGGCGTAGGACAGTCCCCGGTCGACTCTGTCATGAGCTGGCAGCGGATGGTTCCCGGTCGACTCTGACATGAGCTGGCGGAGGACGGTCCCCGGTCGACTCTGTCAAGAGCTGGCGTAGGACAGTCCCCGGTCGACTCTGTCATGAGCTGGCAGCGGACGGCCCCCGGTCGGCTCTGTCACGAGCTGGCGTAGGACGGTCTCCGGTCGACTCTGTCAAGAGCTGGCGTAGGACAGTCCCCGGTCGACTCTGCCATGAGCTGGCAGCGGACGGCCCCCGGTCGGCTCTGTCATGAGCTGGCGTAGGTCCCCGGTCGACTCTGTCATGAGCTGGCGTAGGTCCCCGGTCGGCTCTGTCATGAGCTGGCGTAGGTCCCCGGTCGACTCTGTCATGAGCTGGCGTAGGTCCCCGGTCGACTCTGTCACGAGCTGGCGTAGGACGGTCCCCGGTCGACTCTGTCATGAGCTGGCGTAGGTCCCCGGTCGACTCTGTCATGAGCTGGCGTAGGTCCCCGGTCGGCTCTGTCATGAGCTGGCGTAGGTCCCCGGTCGACTCTGTCATGAGCTGGCGTAGGTCCCCGGTCGACTCTGTCACGAGCTGGCGTAGGTCCCCGGTCGACTCTGTCATGAGCTGGCGTAGGTCCCCGGTCGACTCTGTCATGAGCTGGCGTAGGTCCCCGGTCGACTTTGTCCGCTGACGGCTGTGACGGTCCGCCCGCAGACCACGTGCGCCTGATGGCGCCGCTGCGGCAGCCGCAGCCGCAGCAGCCGCCGCTGGCCGGCCGGCCGGGCCGCGCCCGCCGCAGCCGCGCCCGCAGCAAGGCCAGTAGCGAGGGCACCGTCACACCCAACGGCACCGACCCAGGTCAGGCCGCGGCCGGGCCGGGGCGGTCCCCAGCCAGCACTGGGCCTGGAGTCTCACACAGAGGGGCTGGGGCTGTGCTGCTCCGGCAGTTGGAAGGCTCGCTCTGTTGCTAGACGATTGTGCTGGCAGATGAGTCGGGCAGAGTCGTGTACTGTGCCGTCGGTGGTGCTGTCTACCCTGCCTGTATGTTGTGTTGCTCTTTCCCTGCCTGACTTCACCAGTACTCTGCGTCGGCACTGACTCCGTCTGCCCTCTCGCTGGTGTTGGCTGTGTGCTGGAGGCCGGGGCTTCTCCCGCTGCCCGGGGCGGGCCGTGTGTCGTCTGACCGGCGGCGTCTGCCGACAGGCGGCGCCGGCTGCGTGCTGGAGGTGGACGGCGTGTGGTCGGGCCTGCGGCGCTCGGAGCTGGAGCGGCTGCTGGAGGAGCCGGTGGCGTCGGCCGGCGGCCGGCTGGAGTTCGGGCCGGCCTCGCCGCCGCCCGACGGCCCGCTCACCGCCCACCACGCCGTGCAGGCCGTGTTCGAGACGGCGGCCGGCGCCGAGGCGGCGCTGCTGGCGCTCAAGCCGGGCCGGCTCCGGCTGCGGCGGCCGGAGGCGTGAGGCGCGGCCGGCGGCGCCGCGCCCGCACCCGCCGCACCCAGCCTCCGCACCCCGCCGCGCAACGCACCGCAGACCGCACACTGACCACGGCGGACCTGGGACATCGCGCACGCCGCACCTCACTCCACACACGACACGCGAGGCGCCGCCACAGCGCCGCGAACGCCTGACGTGCGACGGCCGACACCGCGCGGCAGATCCGACGACGTCACCACGCGACGAAAACAACACAGCAGACTCGCCGCCCGCTGCGGTGCCGGAGACGCGCCGCGCGCCACATCGCCACGCGTGGCCGCAGTGCGGGACTCTGAGGAGGTGTGCCGGCGTCGCCACTGGCGGCCGCTCAGTCGCGGGACGCCGCCGGTCAGCCGCGTGGAGGCGCACCGCTGTCCATAAACCGCCTCGCCGAGCGGGACTGAACACCGCACTGCCGCGCACAGTACGCACACACGCCACGACGCTGGCGGACGGGAGGGCGGGGGTCGCGCACCCTCCGACATCCCGCGCCGGCGGCCGGGCGCGGGGCAGAGGGCGCGCCCGACGCACCATCGGCAGGCGCTCACTAGTCAGCCTGTGTGGGCCGCGCGCGCGCCCGTGCGGGTCTGGCCGGAGCGGCGCGGCGCGCGGCGGCCCGCGGGATATTTTTATACTGTTGGTTTTACATTGTGTCCGCGCTCACGCTTGCTGGTAGGGGCGTCTGTGCCCGCTCAGAGCCGTCGTTGCGTTTGCACTTCTGTTTTCTGTTGAATGTGGCGGCGGCGGCCCGGCCGCGTGCCGTCTCGCCGTGGATGTTGTGGTAGCGTCGCTAGCCGGCCGCAGTCCGTGTGTGCGCCTCTGTATCGCGCCGCCCGCCCGTCTCGTCACGCGCGCGCCATGATCTCGGATAGTGCGTCTGTTGCGCCCTTCGACCGGGCGCGTTTGTTGAGTTTCGGCGTCGCTTTTGACACAGCTTTAAAGGGAGGGCGGTGCTGCCGGCCGGCCGCCTGCTCCGCGCCCCGAGCTCGCCCCCACCCCGCCCCGTCCGGGCCGGTCCGCCGCTCTGGACGCGCCTGATTCGTTCCACCGTCCAGTCCCCTCACCCCTCCCCCGAGTCCGGCTAACCTGCCGGCCGCGCTGTACCGTCTAGTCTGGCGTATATCAGCTATGCCTCGAATCTGTTACATCGGTGTTTGTGTACGATCGTTATATTGTTTCAAATCATTTTCCTGTTACGATTTTTTACTGTTCAACTGTGCGTGAGGCTAGGAGCGAACTATAAATCTTGTTCAACAAACGGCTGTATCTCTGTGCGGCAGCATAGGAAGGCCTGGAAATGAGCACCATCGTCGAATGCCCGAAGACCTGTTAATCCAGGAGCTGGGATGACGCCCTGGGCGTCAAGTGCAATAGCAAAACACGACCACCGGTTGGCTTGATGTCGCCATACTATTTTTCGACATACCTCCCAATCTATTAAACATAGTACGCGACTGTCGACGTTAGACACTACACCGCCACATGAAGGTGCGATCTTCCCCGACAACACGAACACGCGGTGTAAAATCTTGTGAAAGCTTGCTGCGGGCGTCGGGCCCCGGATGGGCCCCTTACTCTTTTCTGACTTCACTACCTAACGGCCACTGAGAAATATAGGATACTCGTAGACACCCACACACTTCATGCGCCGGCCCGGGCAGAGGCCCCCGAGCGGTTCGAATCGAACTCTTTGGGTAACTCCTGCACCAGTGCCTGGCAGGCAGGCTCGCTGCGCGTGCGCAGAACAATGTCGCATATTTTACTAGCTTTGCGTCAAATCGTGAATTTTTACCCTGAGCGGGAGGAAGGCGCGCCCATCGCGAATGTTCTGAAATCTGCGGAAAACGCAGCAGCGATGGGGAGCTGGGACGACACCGGAGAGTCATGTCCGTGCACCTCCGGGTCAGCCCGAAGGACATAGGGTCCATCACCCTTAGAACATCGTGTCATGCAAGGGCAGGTCGGCTCTCCCATGCTGGTTAGCCGTTGGTCTGATTTCAAGAGGGCGCTTAGGGATATATTCGGCAGGCCTCCCTCTCCTCTCACCCATCTAAAGCAGTTGACCGCATGTCAGCGAGGTGAACACCGAATGAGTCCGCAGCCACGAACAACCGATTAAAACGCTGGCATTCGACCGAAAATAACCCAGACGCAAGGTCATGAAACTCAGTGAACAGCCAATGAACTTATCTACGTAGTGAGCACCTTCCAGAACGAAGGTCGACTTTTTTAACTTCTTCGACAACAGGCGTCAGGGACCGTCAACCAGCTGCGTTGAAGCAGGCCAATATACATTCGACGTGGTGCAGTTAACGGCCTGGCGTGATTGGAGAGCGTGACATGGGAGACTGGAGAGCCAGCACGAGGAGAGGGGAAGTGTGGCGAACGGCCTTGCGTGATCGGAGGGTGTGACATGTGAGAACTGGAGAGCCAGCACGAGGAGAGGGGAAGTGTGGTGAACGGTCTTGCGTGATCGCAGAGCGTGACATGTAAGGCTGGAGAGCCAGTACGGGGAGGGGAGTGGTGCAGTGGACGACCTTGCGTGATCGTAGAGGGGGATATTTAGGGTTGGAGAGCTAGCACGAGGAGGGGGTAGTGTGGTGAACGGCCTTGCGTGATCGCAGAGGGCGTGACATGCAGGGCTGGAGAGCTGGCACGAGGAGGGGAATAGCGCTGTGCATGGGGGGGGGGGGGGCAGAGGCCACTAAAGGATCTCAAATCCACTGGCTCAGCCCACGCGGCTGAAGCAACAGCTGGCTGGGCTCGGCTGCCTCACATGAATGTGGCGCAGGATCCTGAGGAGCTGGCACTGCGGGAGTGGAAGGGCGTCAACCCCGCGGGGCGTCAACTCGCTCGCTCCAGTGGCCCGTGCTGTGGGGTAACGGGTGTGAAGTAAGCAGCAGTCCGATGTTCATGTTCAGCAGAAATAGACGACCCCCTTCGACTTTAACGAAGCTCGTACCAACGATGGCCCAAAGTGCGCTGACACCTTAGGCAAAAGGTTGCTTGCCAAGCATCGAGCGGTTTGACCACCAGGGGTTAAACGAAGTAAGTCATTTCGTGCCAGAAAGCTTTAGACGTGTTATACGCCATTTGATCTGGAATGTCACGCAAATTCCAAAAATTCCCCTAAGGCAGGCTTAACCCAAGCAGATCGAGATATATTACTGGTTGTTCTGTCACGTAAGTAGTTTTCCGCAAAATGCATTGTTGCACATCGACCAGCACAGGACATAACAAACTGAAAATCCCACCCATTCAGTTTTTTTTTTTGTTTTAATCGCTTGAGTGAAACATCCCAGATAGCGAGGACAACGCTCGAGTTTTCGTGGGGCGCCAAAAATCGTGACCTCTGCAGGTTATCGAATACCAGATCGATGTGTTGGCGTGGTCAGATATAACGCATGACGCTGGATACGCACGGAATATTGACATGCTGAAGCCAATAGATATCTCCGTTAGTCCAATGTGCATACCAATCGGGTTGAGGTCATGTCAGACCACGTGATGATCTTGATCAAGCACATACAAACGAGATATTTGCGGAAAAAACGTGATACCGAGCCGAACGATTTCGATTTCATTAAAATCCCTGTTAGTGATTAACATCCGAGATAATGAGGACGTCACCAGGCTGATCTCCCTTTTAAAAAAGGGAAAAGCAGGGCGTAAAATGCTGACCTCTAGAGGTCACACAACGCCACATTGATATTCGGCACAGAAAATTGTAGTACATGAAGTTTGATCATCGGGGTTAACTGGCAGGTTGAAACCGATCTATACCTCTTTTTGTCCAATTTGCATATCAACTGATGATAACTTCGGGTGCAAAAAGTAAGTCTACCGAGCTGGAGTTGAGGTCATGTCGGACCACGCGATAAACTTGCCCGAGCAGGCATCAATACGCATTTCCAGAGAGCTCATACCATTCCGAGGAACGAATGGTTCTAATTGCTTCATCGGCTGACGCTTAGCTAAGAAAAGTCATGAATGTCTGGGAATAGTCAATTTCTCGCCAAGCGTATGATTTCCCTTTCGCTGTGACCCGGAACACACGACATGGAAACTTCAGGCCCATCAATTGTCTTTAATATTGTTTGTTTAAGAGTGTGGAACATTGGAAATAACAAGAACATCTCATGGCTTTCCGCGGGGTACAAAAACGGTGGCCCCTAGAGGTCACCGACTGCCAGAGCTATATTTGGCATGATCAAATCCTATGTGCGTAAACGCTTCTCTCGCTCCCCGTTCCGACCAACGCGTAGAACCAACTGCTGGGGCCGTGACAGTCTGTGCCTGCGGCCTAATTGCCTGGCATATGGCTCACCGGGGCAGAGATATTGCGCCCATACCGCTAGGATGAGCTTCGCTCGGACCCAAGCGTGGGTGAATGGAAGTGGCGGCCATCACCTCCATTACCAGGGCCGCCGTCGCCGCCGCCCGGACCGGCGCGACCGGCGCTGAACCCAGGGCAGCACCAGCCGCCTCCTCTGAAGCGTGCGCCATTCGTCGACCCGCCTGAACGGATGGTGGACTGTGACCCCGATGATAGGGCGGAGCTGGGTGTAACGATGTGCCCAAATAAGATTGTGGAGAGGCGGTCAGCTTTGCCGCGACTTCTGTAAATATCAGTGGGGACAACAGACAGGAGGCGGCGGATTCCGGGTCGACTGGCACGCTGATGTCTGCAGCTGCGTGGTGGCGACCGCGATCACGTCCCGAACTGCCCCCTGGGAGAGGCCTCCAGCTCCTCCTGGGAGAGTCCTCCAGCTCCTCCTGGGAGAGGCCTCCAGCTCCCCTGGGAGAGGCCTCCAGCTCCGCCTGGGAGAAGCCCCCTCCAGCTCCGCCTGGGACAGGCACCCACCCGCGCCTAGTCACGGTGGTGCCTTACAAAACCAACGGGATCCGAAGACGACTAAAATTACTGCCGTGGGTCTGCTCCGGAAGATATAACGGTCTTATGTGACCCAGCGGAGAGAGGGGGGGTGGAGATGAATACATATGATGCGTTATGGCGTGTTACTGGGTATCAACTTCATCCGGGGGTTCAAGATTGCACCGATTGCAGCGGAAAGTTACGCCCGGATGGACTCGGTAAGCTTATCCATTTCGTGTACAGATCAACATCACAACGGGCCTCGGACTGTCACTCAGCTGGAGCAAGCGGAAGTCCTAGCGGAACACATTCATCAAATGGCTATATATTTGTAACTATTTGGAGGTTCTGACAGACTGGTGTAGTTCACAACTGCCTCGCTGGAAAACACGCCTTGCACATTGCTAGAACTATGCGAGGGGCTGACGCAACCCGGCGCCGAGGAGTCTCGTGAGAGTGGAGGTGCGCTTTCAGTCGGCAAATGGCTGGGGGCTGTCCTTACTAC